AGCAGCTCCCATTGGAGCACAAACAATTACCTGTCCAAGGTGCCAATCTGTTACACAACTCCAACCTGCAAGAAACAATGGCTTTGCTAATTTCCCCACTGCCAATAACAATATGAGCCCGGGATTTCCAGCTTTTCCATCAAGGCCAGGAAGGATGAGTCCAAATGCTAATAATTTTCAGCCTCAACAATTCAACCGCCCTATGTCACCACAGATTAATAATATCCGACCTCCTGCAGTACATGGACGAAAACGAGCAGTTCTGTGCGGAATCAATTACCGTGGCCATCCAAAGAGTCTGAAGGGAAGCATTAATGATGTTTTATCCATGAGATATTTTCTGGTTGAGAAGTTGGGGTTCCCAAATGCATCAGTGGTTGTCCTTACTGGTATGTATGATTGATCACCTACTTACAATTCACGACTAGAACATAAATGCTTATTTTAGCCTTAATTTAACATATAAATACACAAAATTTGCAGAGGATGAGAAAGATCCATACAAATACCCAACCAAGGCAAATATCAGATCAGCCTTGCGTTGGCTTGTTCAAGGTTGTCAGCCAGGGGATTCACTAGTGTTCCACTACTCTGGCCATGGCACACGAGTACGAGACCATGATGGTGATGAGATTGATGGGCACGACGAATCACTATGCCCTGTTGATTTTGAGACAGAAGGGAGGATACTAGATGATGAGATCAATAATACCATTGTTAGGCCCTTACCCCGCGGAGCCACACTTCATGGAATAATTGATACATGCTTCAGTGGAACTTTCCTAGATTTACCCTTTTTGTGCAGAATAAACAGGTTATTGAGAAACTAACCGTTTTGACACTTTGATCAATGCAATGAAACATCATATTAAGCTATAGTAAAAGTGGTATGTCAAAATGTTTTCAAGCAGGGCAGGATACTTTATGTGGGAGGACCATCGGATCCGCTCATACAAAGGTACTAATGGTGGAATAGCAATCTCTATCAGTGCCTGTGACGACCATCAAAACTCTGGAGATACAACGGTTAGTATTTGTAAATAACTATTCCTATACTGATTTCACAATCTCTACCCAAATTAAAAGGCAAACATCAAACTGTAAGTGTACTAACACGACAAAAACTATAATCATAACTAGTTTGTATTGCCCATATAGGCCTTTTACTTTGCACTTTGTTGTGTTATGTACTAAGCCACATGGATTTCAAGAGATTATAGATTACGTTCACTTTTAACATCTTCAATCATCAAAATGTCGCACCTTGGGTTCCTGCAGGCTTTCACAGGCTTTCCAACAGGTGCCCTGACTTATAGTTTCATCCAAACATTGGAGCAAGAGACTAAATTGACTTATGGACGCTTACTCATGAGTATGCAGAAGAAGATTCATGAAGCACAGAAAGGCCTAGGCCTTAATGGTGAAAATGAAACTCAGGTACGCTTCTATGAGAATAAAAAAAAATTCACCTTTGCATCATCATCATCATACGTACTTTGTCTAATGCATTTTATTGGTCTTGCCCAGGAGCCCCAGCTATCCTCATCTGAGCAGTTTGATATTCACTCGAAGATGGTGGCTATATAGGAACTTAAAGTATCCAACTCCAGCCCGAGTACAACTTCCCTGGCATAATAATCTTGTTGTACTAATAAAACTCAACATTTTTATCTTCTTGTAATAAATTCAACACTTCCTTTTACCATCGCGTGTAGATTCACTCATATAGCATTGTTCTGGTGTGAGTCTTGATCGTATATTTTTGTTATGTAAGCTATATCAGTAACACTGAATAAACTTCCAGATGGAAATTTGCTCAGAACAGCTTGTCTACAGCTACATGTTGTGATCACATCCTTTATGTCCTGAATTTGTTTTTCTTTCCATGTCCATCTATAACGCAAATCATAGCACAAGATTGTGTCAAAATCTCTCTATAGAAGACGTGCAGGGTGATTTTTTCGTATATCAAAAGCCTATTTTATTGTTGACGGTGTATTTGAAAAGATAGATGATGAAGAAGATATGTCTTTCTCCGTATAATCAGATAAATTTGCAGGGCACTTAAAACTGACAGATAATTAAATCAGAAATGAATGTTTTTCTTCCTCGTTAATCGTTAATAGAACCATATTATGTGTCGAAACCCCAATAGAAGATATTGCGGCACTAACCCTATTATATGGTACAATGCCTGATTTTATTTTTGTATAACAAGATTAAATTGAATGGACAGCTCCAACAGTTGGCTGATAGAGTGATTAGAGCATCTACTCAATTTGCTGTAAATATAAGCACTTTATAAACACTATCAAAATAAATTTAATTACAAGATCAAAGGCATTTTCCTCCTAAGAGCAATTCATACATCCCAGAAACTGATGGATCAGACAGAGGAATTAACACAGCAATTATTTTTTAAAAAAAAAAGGGAGAGAGAAATAGGTTAAAGAGCCAAAGGGACAACCCCTTTTCTTGCTCCTCTTCTTGTTCTAATGTCTCTTCATCTGCTCTAAAACTCTTTAATTTCAAGCTCTCTGGAGTGTCTGTGCCCTTGCTTGCTCGACATAGCTATGGAAGCCATCAAATCTGTTTGAACCTTTATAAGTTTCAAACTCCAAGAATTGTTGCTAGAGTTTCAAATTCCATGAACTTTCCGAAATCCAGCACATTCTACTTGTCAAAGTTTCGAACTTTAAGCACCGAGTTCATTTGCCAGGGAAATTTTGTTTAGATATTATTTTCGCATTAAAAACTTGCTATTTTCTAATTACTTATGAAATGGTGGCTAAACCTCACTAATTCCACTGGGCTAAAGGTATCCGTAAATGTTCGCCAAGGTCCTTAGGTAGGAAGATAGTATATGATGTTTTTGCCTCAGTTGAGATTTAAACTTAAAGACTCACAGTTGTTAACCCACCTCATTAATCATTAGGTTATCCCTTTCGTCTAATTTTTACTACGGAAAATGATTTTTTTTTAAATGCTCTTAATAGATCAAATATGCCCCTATTATTACTAAATTAGTCAAAAATATTTTTTTCGAATAAGTATATATATATTTCTTTTTAAACACATGTTATTCCTAATAAAAAAATTATTTTGAAAGAATGCTATTCTTATTTTCTTTCTTTTGGAATTATTTTGACTAATAAATATGTTTTTTTGATCAATTAAAATAGAATAATTTTATGTACCTTTTTAATGGATAATATATGTCATATATGTAAGATCATAGTAAACTCATCATTAATTTTCATTTAGATAACGATAAAAAAATTATTATTAAATAAGAAATATTTTTTATTTTTATTTTTTTTAATTGAGGTAGGATAAATATTTTTTAATTAAAAAAATATAATTAGAAAAAAAATGTGTTCAAAGCAAAAGGATATTTTTGACCCATTATATAATATTAAAAAGATATTTTTAAATCAAAGTATTAATGATAAGTTGTTGTATTCATGCAATTTGACATAGTTTAAAAATATTTTTGAACCTTTTCTGTTTTTGCTAAGATGAAGACCAAAGACGAAACACGATCAGTAAGAATATTATTGTTCTCTTAATTCAATAACTCCTCAGGCAACGTGTTATATATAAATTGTGTAGCGAAATTCGGTTTCTGGAAAATATTGAGTAATTCTTCACGAAACAGTAATATGATTCTTTGACTAAGCTAATTTTCCACACAATGGATTCAAAAAATTATAGAAATGCTCAATTTTCTAAGAGAATCATGGGGAAAAAAATCATACCTTCAGAAGACAAGATGAATATATCATGCCGAAAGGCTCAAACAGATTGATTCTTTTTTTTTTTCCTCCATACCAATCCACAACAGAAACAGAATAAAGCTTTTTGCTGATTTGAAATACAAAATATTTTTTTTCCTAAATGCATGTGTTAGTTAATTAGCTTCCAAGTGCTTAATTGCCAACTTTTATAGATATTGATATCATGATCATCTAACTTTTAGTTTATTAATTGCACTGTAGAAAAAATTAATTTATGAAAGAAAAAGTAACTCAATTTATGTCTAAGACATCACAGAATATTTTTTTAGAAGTCAAGAAATATTAGTCACTCGGTAATAGATTGCTTCAGAAAATGTATTCTTTTTTCTTTTCTAAATACCACGTAGTATTATATATATTGTGAGTTGTTGATGTTTTTTCTTTTCTTTTCACAAAATTAGGGGGTAGAAAGTTATAAGGTGGAGAATCAATCCTCATCCATGAGGAAAAGGAAATTATAATACGAGAAATTGATTCCTCACTAATAGGATGAAAGTTCAGTAGTCAACCAACTCAGATACTAAAGTTCTCCTTGCGAGTTGCTGATATAATTATACTTGTATGGTTATTTTGTAAATACGTCAGTCTACTTTTCGCATTAATTTTTTTCTACATTATATAGGCATAATTAAGTTTTTTTTTTTATAATTAAGTTACTCTTTCGTTATAAAATAAAAATCAGCTTTATATATGGTTTTGGTGCATGCAACAAATTGAAAGTTGAAGGTCGTAAAACTGCCCCATATATAACGGTTAGGATTTGGATGGATATACTCCCTCTAACCATAATTACTTATCCATTTTTCCTTTTTTAATTATACCTAATTACTTGTCAAATTTGATAAATCGGACAAAAAAAAATTACCTATTATACCCTCAATTAATTACTTTGAAAAAGTAGAACTTTTTAAAAATCTTTAAGTTTTTAATTCATCCACTTCATACTTTAATAGGGGTAAAATGGTAAACTCACTATGTCAATTATTGTTTTCTTAATAAGTGTGTCAATTTAAAACAGTGGACAAGTAATTAGGGACCGAGGGAATAACATTTAGATTTAGGGGTTGATCTAAACTCAATAGGCTTTAGCTTAAATTTTGGAGATGTGTTAAAAGATCCTCTATATAAGCGCACAGAATAAATTTTGATATTGAAGCATGCACCCAATCAACATTACTATAACTAGAGTAGAATTGTCTTGATTCCTCCAACTAGGAATATTTTCACTTTTTGATTGGGATCTTCACTGTTATTTTCGATAGAACCAAAACTGTCCATTGATTTATTTAGCCCACACTAGCTTTTGAACTCCTTTTCAAACAACGTCTGATTAAACCATCATATTACCATCCTATATAAATCTTGAACGATCCTCTCAAAGTATCAAAAGAAAACTTCACTTTGATCACCCTCTTCTTTCTTCTCATCACCCTTCACATAATGGACAGGTATAGATGCAAATGCCAGCGGTGCGGCATGAATATAGCAGCTCCCATTGGAGCACAAACAATCATCTGTCCAAGATGCCAATCTGTTACACAACTCCAACCTCCAAGAAACAATAGCTTTGCTAATTTCCCCCCTGCTAATAACAATATGCGCCCGGAATTTCCAGCTTATCCTGCAAGGCCAAGAAGGATGAGTCCAAATGTTAATAATAATTTCCAGCCCCAACAATTCAACCGCCCTATGTCACCACAGATTAATAATATCCGACCTCCTGCAGTACATGGACGAAAACGAGCAGTTCTGTGCGGAATCAATTACCGTGGTCATGCAAAGAGTCTTAAAGGAAGCATTAATGATGCTTTATCCATGAGATATTTTCTGGTAGAGAAATTGGGGTTCCCAATTGCATCAGTAATTGTCCTTACAGGTATGTATTGTAATCTTCTTACACTAATGAAAACAGTCAAGGTATATATTTGAACATTAACAGTCAGATTTCTAACATGTAATACACAAAAAAAATTGTTTTTGCAGAGGATGAGAAAGATCCATACAAATACCCAACCAAGGCTAATATCAGATCAGCCTTACGTTGGCTTGTTCATGGTTGTCGGTCAGGAGATTCACTAGTGTTCCACTACTCTGGCCATGGGGCACGAGTACGAGACCGTGATGGTGATGAGATTGATGGTCATGATGAATCATTATGCCCTGTTGATTATGAAACAGAAGGAAGGATACTAGATGATGAGATCAATAGTACCATTGTAAGGCCTTTACCCCCTGGAGCCATACTTCATGGAATAATTGATACATGCTTCAGTGGAACTTTCCTAGATTTGCCCTTTTTGTGCAGAATAAACAGGTTATTGATCAACCAACCTTTTTGATACTTGTTCCTGCAATGAAACTTCACATTAAGTTAAATAGTAAAAGTAGTATGACAAAATGTTTTCAAGCAGGGCAGGATACTTTAAGTGGGAAGACCATCGGATTCGAGGATACAAAGGTACCAGTGGCGGAACCGCTTTCTCTATCAGTGCCTGTGACGATCATCAAAGTTCTGGAGATACAACGGTCAGTATCTGAAATGTTAATATCACACATCTATAGTCACTTTAGAATCTCTATTTTTTTTTTAAAAAGGGACTCCTGGAAAAACACCAAATTAATGCAAGTATACTAACATGATTAAGTCTTAATCATAACTTTTGTATTTCAAGAGAATATTGAAATACTCACTTTTAGCACCTTCAATCATCAAAGTGTCCGCACCTTGGATTTTTACAGGCATTCACAGGCGTTCCTATGGGTGCCCTGACTTATAGTTTCATCCAAACGTTGGAGCAAGAGACTAAATTGACTTATGGACGGCTAATTATGAGCATGCAAAATAAGATTCAACAAGCACAGAAAGGACTAGGCCTTAATGGTGCAAACGAAACTCAGGTACGCTTCTACAAGTGCACCATTGGCCCATTGCATCATCATCATGCTTGTCTAATGCATTTTATTGGTCTTGCCCAGGAGCCTCAACTATCCTCATCTGAGCCGTTTGATATACACTCGAAGCTGGTGGCTATATAGGAACTTAAGTATTCAACTCTAGCTTGAGTATGACTTTCCTCACCATCACGTGTAGATTTACTCGTAGTATTGTTATGGCGTGAATCCTGATGGTATATTTTCATTGTGTTTACATTATCAATATTGCTGAACAAGCTTCCAGATGGAAATTTGCTCGGTCAACTTGTATACAGCTACATCTTGTCACATCCTTTATGTCATGAATTTGCAGCAGAGTTTGTCATTTCAAAATTCGAACAGGGAGTGAAAGATAATTGTAAGCACATGAACAACTGGAAATATAAAGAAACACAGTTTTACATGGAAGGCTAGAAATCACCACATCCCTTCTAGTCTTTAGTTTCTAATAGATTAAATATGCACTAACCTGTTAATAGATATCACGCAAAATCTCAGGGTCATTTTCGACATTAGTTCTCGAGGGATGTTTCTATGTTGTATATCACAAAATGAAGTGAGTACTAGAAGAATAAAACTTTGAAATGTTAATAAACCAGAGAAGTCGATGTAATCTGCAGGAAAGAACATTTGAGGCCTGAAATTAAGTAAACTAGTCTGCTCAATTTACAGTAAATTGGAGCACTTTATAAACAATATCAAACGTAATTGGAGCACTTTATAAACAATATCAAACGTGCATATGCCCTGGACTTGTAAATTGAACTAAAGGAAAAATAATTACAAGACATAGCTAACTGATACACTTCTTTGGAGGCATTTTCCTGCTAAGGAGCAAAACCTACACAAACTAATGAACCAGATAGAGGAATTAACATAGCAATATAATTTTTTCCTCCAGTTCCCATTAGAGACTCTTTTCTTGAAAGAAAAATAGGCTCCAAGTATTTAGAATCAATCTAACCCAAAGGTTTTTCGTGGAAAATTCAGTGAAGCAAGAGCTTACGAGAAGCTGTGCACCAGCGAGTGTAGCAATCATGGAGGTTGGGCCAGTCAGAAGAAGGGCAATAGGTGAAATGGTGAAGCCAAAGGGACAACACCTTTTCTTGCTCCTCTTCTTGTTCCAATGTCCCTATGATCTGCTCTAATATTCTTTCAAGCTCAGCCCTTTCGCTAATACTCAGGACTGGAGCGTCTGTGCCATTGCTTGCTCGACATAGCAATGGCAGCCATGACATCAGCATATTCATGTTTGTCCGCCTGAGATGCTCTTTTGTACTTTCTTCATCCTCTGCGATTTTTCCTATTTCTCTGGATTGTTTGAATAAGAAAGCTGCACAAAGAGAAATTCAGAACATGGCGCTTTTACAATCTAAAAAAAACAATTAAATAAGACAGACGATGATAACTTTATATCATACCAAATAGTATCAAATTTGAAAGCAATTCATGTAGTACCCAATAAAAACTTCCAATTCAAATGGTTATGGAAAGCTGAGGAATTCAGAAGAGAACATTTATGGCCATAGAAGCTTATACGAAAGACTCTACTCTTGTAGAAATCTAGTGTAAATTGTAAAATGGATTAAAAGATGTTCCGAAGGGAAATCTGAGGCTGTACAATGCAAAATATGTAGGTGTCTGCAATCATTCAGGCTTATGCAGTTGCTACTACAATCTAAATACCCCACTGCAGTGCAAATGCAATGAGAGATCATTAAGCGATTATAGACGATTGGACATACTAATTCACTAGATTGCTCATAATCCATATCAGATGAGTTCTCTGTACATATTTTGTTCAATACAGATCAACTTTTACTTTAAATCTATAGTATAATTTATGCTCCATATCTCCGCGTACAACAACAACAAATATGCTTCAATCTGAAACAGATCCATAACTGCACGCATGGAGTTGCGAAAATTAGAAAATGCAATTAAAGAATATTCCACAGACAATTACCTGAAACCTTAACAAGAGACCCCTGAAGCCGCGGTTCAGCAGAAAGAGCAAGCCAAGCAACATGTGAAGCCGAAGCCCACATATAAACAGCTTCATCAACACAACCACAAGCTTCCATCTTCTGAGCAAGCCATAGCAACTCTGCCGCCAGCTTCTCAGCCGAGCAACCAAATTGGCTCATCTGGTTCCTCGCCCTACCGCGCTGCCACACAACGTCGCCATAATACCTAATCGCCCTCAAGCCGCGGCTCAACTTACCTACGTAATCGCCGCCGTCTCGGCCCCCACCAGACACAAGTCCACTACCACCTCCACCTTCTTCCGCCACCATGGCTGATTCAAGCTGACTAAGCGTCCGCGTAAAAGCCGCAGACAAAGCGGCGCAATTCACTTCCCTCAAAGCTTCGTTACCCTCCAAGAGATTCTCATCAATTAGCCTCTCGGCCAATGATCTCACCACTTCATATTTCCTTGAACTCACCGGAATATCATTCACAATCGACAACACTTGAGTCAAGGCTCTAGATATCCCCGACTCCGCACGGCCGCTCGCGGCGACCGGAGAATAAATCTCCCCCTTTTTGGGCTTCAAAGGATAGCCATAATTTTCTCCAGAAGGATTCAGAGAAGGGAATAAAGATGGTAAAAGGCGAAGAAAGAAGAGAAAAGCTGAAATCAAGAAATAACGTATAGTTTCCAGAAGTTTATATCTTTCTGCTAAGAGAATGAAGGGTTTATCAGCGAAGATAAACGCCGATGTCAATAAGTTTCTGAGAAGCAACGGAGCTATGGAGGAAGAAGTACTTTCCGTCATGGCCCCTTGGTCGGAAAATTCTCCCGGCGATGGTAGACGACAAGAATGAGAAATTTGAGGTACAAGAAAACGCATTATAGGCAAAAACGGGTCGGGTTGAACAGCTTAATGAGTGATTGTGGACCATAAAAACATTAGACAAAACGTCATTGCATGCAAAAATTTACCACCGTCACTGTTGCTGTCAGTTAATTATCCCGGGAAATACAAAATGAACAAGATTGTTAGAAAATAATATATTTAAGTAATAAAATTGGAAGAATGTTCTATGTTTGGTAATATAATATTCTGTGATTCCAAATTTCAAATAGTATAGATTTTGAGAGGAAAAAAGAAATAGGGTATTTGCTATTTTTAAGGCAAACGAGATTTTAGGTTAATGGTGAAGATTTTATTAATGAGAGTAATATTCCCCACCATTAATTGGCAATCATTTACTCTCTGAATTTATGTTAGTTTTGTTACTAGTAATAAAGAAATTAACACGTACAATTATTTGTCTTTGTAATTGGTCAAAGAATCTGGACAGATTCACATTCATGCAAGGGTATTCCCAGTAATAAACGTTTTACCATTCAAATACGTATATACGGGTTAAAGCTCATGGCCCGAAGATAGAAAATAAATTATATTCAATAACACGATAAAAGGTGACATGAAAAGACGATATCCTAACCAAAAGGGACCAAAAATGAGTGGGTCTTACTGATCAAATACCATAAGACAGGGGAAGACTAAAGGAGAAAAGTAGTGTAGAAATTAAATTCAAAGCTTGTATAGGTGCCTATCTTTTTCGGTAAGAAGTTACATATATCTACGGTGGTAGTGGGTGGGAGAATTAATGACAGTAGCCAGAAAAAATATTTATTTTTACTTGTCATTTTTTTAATATTCTCTCTCTCAATCATGCATATAAAATTACATTAAAATTATAATGAAAAATAAATATGAACTCATACTTTAAAAATATAATAAGTTTAATGATAAGAATTTAAATATAGAACCCATAAAATTTAGAACCTCAATTAGTTTTGCGATAACGAGTTGGGTTGACACGTCAATAGACATTGTTTTCTTATTTTTGAGACAGCCACATAAATTGGAGCTACTTATAATTGTTGAATTGTTCAACACAATTTATTGACAATTCCCTTGTGGCCTTGCATCCCAGTCAACCCCCTAGCTACTTGATAACGCTATGTTGAGTTGCTAATTAACTTGTGTCTCTTGTTTGTACGAGTCTTAATTCTTTCTTGTCTACGTTTTTTTGATACCTCAAACAGTATTATAATTAATCTAAACAGCCGTCCAGCGTCCATCCAACCGTTTAAATTAATATAGCTGAACAGATATATAACTAATAAATTAAAAATTTGTTGGTAGTTACAAATGAAGAAGTTGTTGTTCTTTCTTTTTTTCCCCTCTGTTATGACGATAATTTCATCACTACACCAATGGTTACACTGAGATACTTGAAAAAATAGATACGAATCAAGTCGATAATGAAAAATCATGTAAGGCTCACCAAATTATGTATCCATTTCAAGATCAAGAACTCTATAACTTACATTTTGATTTTCGATTTGGAAACATCATACTATGACTGAAATTTTGGCATTCTACAAAATTAGATTGTTGAACTAAATCAAAAAACATACTCATTTTCACCAGCAATAATAGTTTGTCAACAAATGCAACAATTGAAGTGTTCATGTAAAGTGACAGAAAGAATGATTCTGAGAATCTACAAACTGAATAAATCAACACATAACAACCACACGGCCCGAGTAAAGAATTTAAATATTACAGAGTGTTGGGGGAGAGGAACATAGCATAATCTCTTTTGTGGAAACATTTTAATAATTTATGCAGGATTGTCTGAGACTTAATGCTGTCTGTCAGTCTATAAAACGCGCCTCATCTAACAAATACCCCTCTAATAAATATATATACTGCACACTGATAAATTCCCATGGATCAAAATTACCCCTTAAATCGGACAACAATGCATGAGATATCATCTTTGCTTTCTCTGACCAATGCTTCGATTGCTAACTGCTTGGCTGCCTTCTCTGGATCTTTGACCTTCCTCACGATGTCAACTGCCTCTTGATTAGACATTACCTGGAGAAATCCGCAATCAAAAGCAAGAAAAGGAAAAAATGCACCTCAGAGTGCCAAAACAGAAAGGGATACGAGATGTTTCGAGCAAATGGCACCTTCCATAGACCATCACTTGCAAGTATGAGAAGATCTGTTTCCGCATCAACATCAGCATTTGTTACATCAGGATCAGAGCTCAAGTGTGATTTCAGGTTTTTGTCTCCAAAAGCGCGAGATACAGCTAGTTGGCCATTCACTCTAGCAACATCTCCTGAGATTATATACATTTCAATAGGCATGTCACTGACAATATCCAAACGCAACAATACATGAGATACCTGTAAAGTCTAGATCAAATCGGCAGGGGTGGCTCAAGTGTGAGGCTAGTAAAGTGTCTGCTTTATGCATCCAAAATGTTTTAATGGTGAAGTTTATGACTTTATTTTTACTTTAAACAATTTTAAAAATTGTAAGAAAAAGTACAAAATTGTATATATATATATTTAAAAAAAGGCGAAAAAGGCGCATTGGACTACTAATCCTGAACCCTGACAATGGAGATGAAGTATCACACTAATTAGAAAGGAGAAATTAAACTATATCTCATTGATTTTTATTAGAAGCATAGAATTGGTACTATCCACTCTATTAAGAAAAGTGAAGACAGACCATTCAAGCCTAAGATTAAGGTTATGTATATTTATATGTATGAACAAAGTTAAGACTTAGGGAACTTAATGGATGCAATCCAAATTCAATTTGTATTACAATGTACAATGAAGAGAGAAGAACAACGCTATTATATCCACAGCAGTAAGTGAGAGCATGTGAGAAGCACCTGGCATGTTTGAGACGAAACCACCTCTGTTTTCAATGTCATCTCGCTCGGTGTTTGGTTCATGATCAATCGAGAGCTGGATGGCCTGACCCCTCCTAGAAAGGACTGCTCTCGAATCCCCAACATTTGCTACCCATAGCTTACGACCATTTATAAGAATTGCAGTCACAGCAGTGGAGCCACCTCTTCCAAGATCAGGAGTGTGTGAAAGAATAGCCTGATCTGTTCTCTCATATGCTTTTAGAATTGCCCTATGAGGGTCATTCCGAAAATGCTCCTAGAAATTTTTAACATAAAAAGGTGAGAGAAATCCCAAGCAAACCCTGCCCTCTAACACCAAAAAAGAAAACAATAAATAGACATTTATTAAAGAAATAAAACAACTCAAGATTAAATTATCATGCATTGATGTTGAAAGGATTTCTGAGATCGGTTAGAAGTAATGCATTAGAACTTTGTTCTTGCCATCACACACTTATATCGGACTTGATCAACATCTCTACTAGCATTGTGTGTTGATCTCTAAAAGAATACTTTAGCTTCAGTTTTTCCAAAATAGCAAGAGAGACTGACCGGTAACTTTACCAATTTTCAGCTGTTGCTCATGCTAGAGCACTAATACCATTGTCCAATCAAAACCAACAAATACAAGGTATAGAAAGAGGGGGAAGCGGAAGCATGTGTTAAATGTGTTTTGATGAAAATCGGTAACATAGCCATCATTACTTGCACCCAAAGTAAATTGTCTTACTAAAAACACAACGATCCTCACGGAGCAGAGAAGTTTAATTTGCAGAGGTTCCTAACCCCGCAATTTACCTCATTTAAGATATTGGAAAACAAATGCTTTTGTAAATAGGCAGGCACGCTATCTCCCAAATGCCCATCATAAATAGCAAAAAGTCCTAGTTCATGTCCATGCAATTGGACAAATTTAGAAACATGGTAATCTTCCATGGGATGATTAGCTTTCCCCTTAACCAGGCTGAAGCCATACTTGGTAGGCCCTTGATTGCTTCTTCCTTTGCCAGAGCTACATGATGACCGTCCTCCTGCAAGCTAAAGGAAAAAATGATACTTCAGCTTTCTGACCAACCCAGCCAAATATATACAATGCATACAGACCATAAACTGAAATAAACATCCACCCCCAAAAAATTGTTGAGGCGGTGATGAAGACAAAAGAAAGCTTCAATGGAGACTTTTTGATACTATGTGCCTACCTATTCAAGGGGGGGCACTATTATGGAACTAAACTCTTGAAGTCATTCATCGGGTTTTTGTAGAAAGAAGACCAATGGAACCACAATCATGGAAAATGTCGGCAGTAATCCACCGTGGGGGGGAGTAAAGTGCAATGGTACATGTTCAAATAAACCAAGGATAGGACGCTCAAAATATCAGAGAATTACACTCCATAAATACGCTCATTGTGAATATTGTTAGCATGCTATAGGACAAAGCAAAGTATTTTAGGAGCCCAACAAAGAAGAGAAATAAACAGCAAGGGTGTGTTTCTATGGAGGAAAACATTTTTCGGAAAATGTTTTCTTATTTTCTCATGTTTGGTTAGACAAAAAATTTGGAAAACATTTTCTCCAGAAAAATAGGTTCCTCAAAAATGAGGAAAATGATTTCTTTAATGAAAATAGGGAAAACAAGTTTTATTAGTAATATTCTATTTTTATTATATCCTCCCACCCAA